TCTCATTAAAAAAAAAAAAAAAAAATCATGTCACATATGCTAGATGTGATCAATATAAAACACTGACCTTAACTTGGAAATGTTCTCAATCAAGTTTGATCATTAAGAGATATTATATAAAGGAGAAATGTTAAATCGTAATGATAGGATCACAGCAATTATGAAGCTTTATCAGATTGTGCTGAGAAGTCATTACTAGTCATGAAAATAAATGGGCTATATCAGAATAGGTAGTGAAGACAAATTATTCCAGTCAAAGAAAGGAAGTATGAACAGTCTCGTTCGTTAGCCTGGTGGCTCCCTACTGTATTGGAGAGCACCCCGAGAACACACACAGGTTCAGCCAGTCACATGACAGGCACAGAATTCAGAAAAGCTGCTGTGCACAAAGTCAGCATTTACTGCAGAAAAAAGAAGATGGATTAAAATTAGCAAAGGTTAAAAAAATAAAACACAGCACAGCCTCTGGGAGAAGCTTCCAGCTGTCCTGCCCCAGCAAAAACAAAGAGCACTAATTCCACCAGAAATGACGTGTGACAAGAGCCAGTAGTGCCAGCCACGATGCTCACCCACGCCTGTGCGCAGGGTTTTAGTGAGGGTCATCCACAAAGACCTGTGACCACCCTGACTCATCTCTGAGTCACAATGACACATCATGGGCCTGGGCCCCGGGAGAATGACATCAATGTGCATAATAGTAAATCTCTATCCGCAGAGATTGTCTTGTGGAACCCAGGACTCATCAGGCAGGAGATGTCGCGGGCTGTAGAGGTTAACCTTCCAGCAGCTGTTTAAACACCTCAGTGCTGTTGAGTCAACCGTGTAATGCACGGCAGAGGAAGAGTCTGTGGCAGAGTGGGTCAATGAATCATTCACTCATTCATTCATCTCAGTAAAATGATGCCCGCAAAGATCTTGTCTGTACTGATTTGTTTTGATGAGAAGAAAAAAGAAAATAGGAGGAAGAAGAAAATCAGTTTCGTGGGATAGCAGTTGGTCTCAGCTTTGGGCAGGAATGCAGACGTTCTCTCCTATGCAGCCAGTCTCAGGCCAGCAGTGCGTCACCGTGGGTGACCCTAAAGGTGTGACGCCTGAGGGGTGAGTGATGTGGGACCAGTCCCCGATGCCCAATGTGCACTGCTTCTCCAGCTACCAGCTCTGCAGAAGAAACTGGATGTTGTGCTACTCTGAAATTGTCAGAAACAACTACTTACTAGTCCCTCTCTTTCTCTCTCTCTCTCTCTCTCTCTCTCTCTCGATGTCTCTTCCCCACCCTCTGCCCTGTACTTTCCCTGCTGAACTACGATTTGATCTTGGAAGATGTTCCAGTGGATTTGATCGCCATCGGCAGGATTGGGTGGACAGTGGATGCCCTGAAGAGGTACGCATGTATTTTATTATGATACCGTTCCTGGGACCAAGCTGCCATATGATGCTACTACAACTGCATAAGAATGGTATCTACTTTAGCTCAAAAATAGCCAGCAGGCATTGGATTCCTCCTATATGTGCCAGGCACTGAGTCAAGTTTTTATATGTATTAGCTCAACTTGTTCTCATACTCGTCCTATGAGGTAGGTGCTGTTAATACTCCTCAAATGACCAGAAAAGGACAGGTATAGGTGGAGGGAGTTTGTGGGGAGTGGGAGAATGTAGTTGCTTAGAGTTAGGCACCTGGCTATGGAAACAGGAGAGTCAGGACTTGAACCCGCGCAAGCAGGAGGTATTTCTCCTCAACACTTACTGCTTGTCTACGATCTAGGAAAGAGTTTTCCTTTACTTTCTTTAGCTCAAATACTCAAGACAATGGTATGAGGAAAACACTGATTTCAGCCAATCGGGTACGTGACAGTAACAGCTAGTTTAACATAGATAACAACAGAGAAGAGATGGAACATCAAGTAAACACAGTAGAGATAATCGTGCAATGGAGTAATTCAAGCAATTGTGTACAGTTGAGCAAGCAGTATTAACCTGTCTGAAAGTTTTCTAGTGAATTTCATTTACATTATCATTTCAGGGTCATGGAGATCCTACAAATAGTTCACCAGAAAAGGATTTCTTCCTCCTCTATGAAGTTTTAGGGCATGGATTTTAATTAAAACCATTAACAGCACAGATTTTTTTCGTTCAGTAAGGCAAATCATGACAAAGTGCTGTTTTAAAAACTATTAGGACATAAATGGTCACTGAAGGCCTTTTAAAATTCATGTTTTGGGGATAACCTCTCATAAAGACTTTGAGGCATACATCTTGAAGAACATTCTTGAGTTGTTAAGTGTAGTAATACCTTTTAATCAAGTTTTTGACATTCATTTGGGAAATTAGTTATATATGTGTGAACTTCACTTACGTAACAACCAGTGCAAAAGAAAATACAGTACATTAACAAGCCCATTAGTACATTTTCAAATCATTATTTCATGTCATCGTAGTCAACCCAATTAAAAAATGTTCAAAATGAATGTGTAAAGATTCACCAAGTAATACATTTTAGTTTTCTTGCTCAATATGTTCTCACTGTGAACCATAGGAAATACAGAAAAATCTACCATGTTGTGCCCTCCTAAGTATATTGTAGAGAACATCACTGTAGTCTATGAGCTGTGCTAATCACTAAAACTAAAGAGAGTAAAAACAAACATTTCCTGCTCCCAGAGAACTCAGACGCTGTCCTATTCTATAACACTGAGTTTCCCTTTTACTGTACAATTCAATTATAAATGTCACTAGCTTTACGGTGAGCAGTTCTATCCATTTTTACAGGTAAGTAACCAAGTCGACAAGCTCCCAGTCCATTTTCCATACCTAAGATTAGGGTTAAATTTTCTTTCTTACACTGAGTTGAATTTCTTCAGTAAGGACAATGAGTATAATATGTGTTTGTTAAGCAAGTTCATTGGCACTGCTTACCAACTTGCTTGAGTTCAGTGAGACAGAACAGCCCCCACGCCCACCCCCACATACCACAAGATACGTGAGGTGGGTTTAACACTCAGAGATTGGCAGCAGGGGACAGCAGGAACCTGGGATTTATTGAGATCCTTTCGCCCTGGTGATAGAATCTTATCAGGTAGATAGCCTGCTCTTAGAGAATAGCATGGGCAAGACATACTAACTACAAGGGTGTAGTCTTGTTAAGTAGCATGAAGGAAAGTTCACGTGGGAAGGTCATGTTCAAGGTGAAACCTAAAGGCAGTTGAAACAGGAGATCAGTCCAGAGATGAGATTGGTAAGGCAAACGGCCCTGATCGTGACAGGGGGAAAGAGTTTGATTTTCTCCTGAAGGCAAGAAGAGCAGTCTAAAGAGTTGTATTTGTGAGGATATCGGAATGGCTCTTTAGGATCTCTGGCTGTGGATTGTGAGGAAAGAGGCCAATGCACTGGCTGTACTACGCCCCAGGTCTGAGATGGTGACTGCTGTGGTTGTCCCCCCAAGGCATTATGGGATCAGAGCTGGAGCTTCTGCAAGGTGACTGGATTATGGGAGAGCTGCAGCTGACCCGCTGTTAGGAGGTGGGACCTGGTTGGAGGAGGGGCTCCTGCGGGCCTGACCTGGAAGAGCGGACCTTCTTGAAATCCCTCCCAGGCTCCTCATTGCTTTCTTTGCTTCCTGGTCGCCATGATGTGAGCAACTACCCTCCACTATGTCCCTGTGCCTGCCATTCTTGCCCTGGGGCTGGAGACCACAGACTGTAAATGGGAGCCCAGATAAACTTCTCCTCTTTTATGTTTTGGATATTGGATCTTGTATCTCAGCCATGAAAAAAAGTGACCACGATAGTGATCTGGATTGACTCACTGGGTAGGACGGTGATGGTGGAAGTAGTGGCCGAGTCGGTACGTGGTTCCTTTCCTGGAAAGGAGAACTGAGTCTCCTTTTTTATACCATTTCCAAAATGCCTTTTCACACTTTTATAACATTACTGGAATTCTAAAGCACAGTAAGAAAATGAATATCCATGATTACACTACACAACTCGGGAACTAGTTATTGCTGACTAAAAAGCTGGCTATTTGCTCCTACTCCCTCCTAGTCCAACCTCTCCCTGTTAGTAGTAAATTAAACTATTCTGAGTTTGGGGTTTTCCACTCAGAAATTGGGTGGACCTTTGCACTTACCCATATTGGTTCCTATGGTGGTTGTTTGTTCGTTTTTGTAGCTCTACATTATATGTGATAGGAATGGACTGTTCATTTACTAAGCAAATGTTTATTTTGTGGTGCTTATATCCCTCCCACACACTTTCTTAGGCACTAGGATGTAATATGAAAAAATGAAAGCAAACAAAAATCCACTAAACCCTACCTGTTTGGAACTTACCTACCTACCGTGCTATTTTCCTCACTCAGCCTTTTGTTTATGGACATTGTTTCCAGATTTTTGCTATGACAGAAATGTTTCATGCATGTCTCCCGAATCAAATTGTGCAGAAGTTTCTCTAATATCCTTACGAGTAGAACTGCCCTGTGTGAGTCAGGAAAATGTTCACTTTCGAAATGCCAAATTGTTTTCAGTGTATCGATTTCTGTGACAATCCTGGAAGTCTTGTGAATGCCTGTTATTTCATGACCCTGATAGGCCTGGTATTGTCAGATGTCTTCCTGTCTGCAGATCTAATGGCTATAAAACGTTTCTTACTGTGAACTTAATTTTCATTTCTCCAAACATTAATGGAATCAAACATATATGCTTATATGCTTTTGGGCTCCTGGGTTTCTGTCCTCCCTCTCTGATGAGATGCCCTTCCTGTCTTTTCTCATTTTTCTGTTGGGCAATTATCTTTTTCGTTTTACCCTGAGTACTGTATCTCTGTTGGTTATAAGTCAATACACATAATAAATCTTGATTAGAACTGCCTTACAAAACTCTCCTGCTAACTTAGAAACGATGTCTGAACACCTTTGGTGGCTCTCTATTTAGATAATGGTGTCATCTGTAAATAACGAACATTTTGCCTCTCGTTTTCCACTTTTCAGGTCTTTTATTTATTGTTTTATGGCTCTAGCTAATACTTCCAGATACAGATACCGTCTTACTCACTGTCGTCATCATTGGAACAAAATCTCCACGGCAGCAACCTAACGGAGAAGAGGTTTATTTTGGCTCAAGTTTTCCAAGTGTCAGTCCCTGTATGATCTCTGGAATGGTACAAGGTCCGGCCCAAAGAACGCTGTTTAGAAAGCAGGAGCGACTGCAGGGAGGAGCCAGGAAGGGAGATGCCCAGGCCATGCCCCAGTCCCACCCCTACCCAGGCTCTGCCTCCTAAAACCAAACCCCGCCCCTGTGGACCCATAATCCAGTCACCCTTCACAAGCCCCGCCTCTGAGCACTTGAGGATCATAGGGGGCAATAGATATAAACTATGAAGAACAGATGCATCTCTATAACTACATCTGTGTGTCTTCTTCCAAATTTTGGTTTCTCTGTCATTTTCTCTCTGAGTTTAACTCACAATTATTCTCAATTTTGTATGCTAAGATTATTGGTCTTTTAGGTTCAAGCTATCTGTGTGTATGTATCTTGTTTAAAAAGATTTCCCGCCAGGCCTGGTGGCATATGCCCTGATAGCTACTTGGGAGGTTGAGGCAGGAGGATCTCAAGTTTGAGGTCATTCTGGGAAACTTAATAAGACTCGAATCCCCCCAAAATAACCTTTCCTACTAAATTTTATGAAATATTTTTGTATATTTTATTCTAAGTATTTAAAAGCCTCATCTTTCACGTTAAAGTTTTTGTCCCGTTTTGAACCAGTTTTATACAAGATAATATTTAAAAGGCAGTATGTAGAGCTCTCTCCTGTGCAGCTAGCCAAATTTCAAGGCACATCTATTTAATAATCCTGCCTTCTGACAATATCTTGGAAAGCCGCCACTTTCATATATCGTTTCTGGCTTACCTAAAACTTGGTTTGTTTTTACTTGGACAATTGGCATGCTGTATTAATTTCAATAATTTTGTAAAAAAAAAAACTTGCTATCTCTATGACAAGTCACCTTCATTTCCACAAATGTTTTGACTATTTAGGACTTTTGTCCCTCATACAAATATTAGATTCATTTATCAAGATTGGAAATCTATTGACCTGTAAATTTTATTAACAGTTTAACTGAAGTTACATTGAATTGTGAATTAAATCACTTTCAAATTAAGGGAACTTTTAAGTGTATCTTTTTATTAGTGATTTCTAACTTAATTGAATTTTCAGTAATATATTGCATATGATATTAATTCTTTCAAATTGGTTAGAAGTCATTGTGAAATATTGCATAAACAGCTTATACATATTCTTAAAAAGCATGCAAGTTTTGGGTTGCAGATCAAATTTGATCAGTGTGCTGTTAACTACTCTCTCCACCCTTTGAGTTTTTTTGAGGGTAAGCTTGATCTTTTAATTTTTTTCCTGTATTTTTAATCTGTCTTTTATATCTTCTACTTTCTTATTTCTCTATGCTACACTGTGGAGGATTCTTCAGATATATTTGCCTATTTGTGAATTCTCTCTTTATCTTGCTCAGTCCTTTATTTTATTCATGGAGGAAGTCATTTTAACAATAACAATTTAAATTTCTAAAATTGAAATTTGATGCTTGATTAAATCCGGTCATTTTTATAGTCTCAAATTAGCAGCGTGTTTTTACATTTTTGCCTTTCACTTCCTTAAATGTCCCATACATAATTTTCACATACTCCATATTGAATGACCTCAGTAGTTAAGTCCAGCTGTGCTGTTCATTGTGCACTGTTTTTGCTGCCTCTTTGTCATGCACTCTTTCTGTGTTTCAACTCTGTGTCCTTTAGTGAGTGGTGCATATAATTTAATCTTACTCCATGGGAATCCCCAGGACCCAAGTAAGTGAAACTTCCCTCAAAAGAGGGCTGATGATGGGACTCAGGGTTTCGGGGATGCCACAGCTGCAGGGCCTGCCTTTATGAGGGGAAGAGAGGTTCTGATTTATGGTCCCCAAGAGCGGTTCAAGGGTTGGTCTCCTTTGAGTGGAGACTTTGGCTTCTTTTCCTCAGGAAGAGCCCTCTTCTCTTTACAGCTCAATTTGTTTTAGAAAAATGAAGAAAACAAATGGAAATACACAATTGGAGATTTTCCTTGCTTCCCACAGATTCCAATATTGCTTTAAATTTCATGTTTTCTCCAGGATCTATTTGTTTTGCAAGAGCAGGGCTCTTTAGAGACAGTCTGTCTGTATTTCTGTGGACTACTGAATCCAGGATTTCACCTTAAACACTGGGGCATTTGGGGGTACTCTTCTTTGAGGAACAATAATACAGGTGGAGAATAACATGACAAGTTCCATTGTGGGCTTCTGGTATTTGAGGTGTCTGTGATCGCTCAGAGGTCAGTTCAGATGGGAGAGAGCAGGCTGATTGGTTAAGAAATGTAGCTCATGATATCACTTTTATCAAAGAATAAAAGGTCAGCCGATGGAGTAGACTTGCAAGTAGGGTGACGGGTTGCTAGTTTGATGTAGAGATGGAGGAAGTGGGCCCCAGCGGGGAAGTGAGGAACCACACAGAGCAGCCCGGCCAGGCAACCCCAATAGCCCACTGAGGACGAAGCTCAGTGTGAGCTCCTGGTGACCATCTCCAGCTGTGCAAGGGCAGATCTTACTACGTACAGAATTGAGGATCTGAAAGTGTGTGGGAAAAGAAAAAGAGCAAGATGCTTAAAGCTGGTGAAAATAGATTACAGTGATGGAGGGAATAAAAAAGGATGCTACAGAGGGAAAATCACTGTGCTTAGGTTTTCTAGGTAGTCAAAAGATAAGAGGGATTTGAGTGAACATGGTACAGGGCTAGCCTGAGGCACAATAACTGAGTTTTTATTTTAGACTTAAAGCATTTCCATCAGAAGGTTGTGCGGGTGCGGGGGTTACGGCTGCAGTTGAATCAGAGGTGATCGTTAGCTCTGTGTTGCTGAAAAGATGAGGGAACTGCAACCCAGGGTACTCAGTGGGCCCTGGGGATAGTAAAACTCGTAATGGAGAAGAAGCCTGCATCGTATCCAGTTAGAAAAAGGAAGCTGTGTAAGAACTCTTCATTAACCAGAGAAGGTGTGTATACACAGCACTTTACTGATTAGATGAGGGTTGAAGAAAGGTGTTTATTTTGGAATTTTCAAATATGGTGTGAGTACTACTGTATGGAGATCGTGGTTCCTACTCAGGCCTGCCGGAGAGAAAGTCCTCATAAGCACAAAGCGACGAGTTGCAACACTAATGGTAAATGTTTCAGCTTTCGAGACTGTGACAGTGAAAATTAAAGATAGGCTATCAATAAAAAGAAAAAAATAGGAGATGTACCTTTTCCTGGTGACTTCATTGTAGCGCTGCTAGGGTCAGCCAAACTAAGTGTTTATGTGAGCGCTGTTTATTTGTGTGGTCTTTAAATATTTGTAAATGAAAACAACATTTCAAATGTCTATTCAACATGTGGCAGGCTAAATTTGAGACCCTAACGTAGGCTGGAGCTATTAGCAAATGTTTAAGATTTGGGACTTGTTTGATTGAAAGTAAAGGCAGCCCTTCTTCACGTACTTAAGCATGTTATAAATCTCATCTACGTATGCGTGTTGTTCTTCAAATTTCCACTTTTACCTTTTGACATTATGTCTTTGATAAACATTACATTTGAACAAGGTAAACAATAATATGAAAGGTTAATGGCCAAATGAAATCCAAAAATCTATTACTCTGTCCTATCTACTTCTCCCTCTCTCCCTCTCTCCCTCCCTCCCTCTCTCTCTCTCTCTCTCTCTCTCTCTCTCTCTCTCTCGTCTCTCTCTTTCTCTCTCTCTTTTATAGACTTGGTAAATTACCCACGTCACTGAATGTATCCCAGCACAAAAACAATGTATTGTTCACATTGATTTGAGAGAGTTTTGTGCTTTTACGTCACAACTTCTTTGATAAGATATTTGAAACACATGTGTGATTGCTCTGCTTTCCCTTTTGTATCTCTCGCTAGTCAAAAGAGAAGATATGTGCTGAGTTGGTGGGATTTATCCCAAACTTTGGTGTTTTCCACCCACTGGTGGTTCCTAGTCTCTCTCTTTCTCTCTCTCTTTTATAGACTTGGTAAATTACCCACGTCACTGAATGTATCCCAGCACAAAAACAATGTATTGTTCACATTGATTTGAGAGCCTTTTGTGCTTTTACGTCACAACTTCTTTGATAAGATATTTGAAACACATGTGTGATTGCTCTGCTTTCCCTTTTGTATCTCTCGCTAGTCAAAAGAGAAGATGTGTGAGAATGCAGAATCCACGGAGTCGTCTTCTCAGACCACCACCACCGTCCATGCGACAACCACACAATTCAGGGTCTTAACCACCACCAGAAAAGCAGCGACCTCACAGCTGCCCACCAGCCTGCCCACAGAAGGTGCCCAAGACATACTTTGCTTTTTCTTAAAGAAGGAAGAAAAGAAGGAGGAAAGGGGGGATAAAGGGCAAAGAGAAAAAAAGTACTATGGACTGAAAGTCTGTGCTGGGATTCTTTTCATACATCGTGTCTTTTATTAAGACCCAGCTGTTACTTGTAATCTGGCTTCTTTTTAGTCTGGGAAAAAATATAGATCTCTTTTTTTTTTTTTTGAAGCTAAATGTAGTAGTCTCTGAATTTACTGCAGTCACGGGAAGGGAAGGCAGAAATGCATGAGGTTCCCATTGTTTTTGGATCCTGACAAATAGATTATTCTATTAATGCTAATATCTCCTGAATACAGTCAATACTGAAGAATGTTAGTCCACAGCCTATATAGAGGCATGGTGAGAGTAACAACAACTGCTCTTCCTCTTACAGAGAAGGCAGAGTTACTACCGTATTAGTACACAGGCACAGTTCACGGGGAGGAAGGCATATTAACCACCATTTGATAACGCTCTGTTCTGAATGGTGCTGCTAGGGAGTAGGCAGAAAGATGAGGACACGGCTGGGGGCTCACGTTCCGTCTTATCGAATTATTGTCATAGCCTTGCTTTCTTTTAAAGAGGAAGTTACATTAAATTTGAAGCCATTGCTTTGAATTGAAATGTAATTGGATGCCATCGGGCTATTGGGATAAAGTGAGGTGGTAGCAAGTGCCTAATGCGTTCTATTGATCTTGAAAGCAGCATATTCAAATTGATATTATTTTGGCATCATTATATTAAAACCCATGAGAAATATCTCTGTAATATTCTACCCTTAACAACAAGGTATAGCGACCCAAGTGAAAAGGCACGGCCTACCTCATGGTCCTTCAGGACAAAATCTTTTCATAAGTGCTTTTGACTATATTTGTTGTTAATGAAAACCCATTTAACTTTTCTTGAAGTTCAATGTGTCAATGTGGATAAATCCTGACTCTTCCAATTAATTGAGTTGTGCTTGATCTTAACTTTTAAATAAAGTTATAACGACAAGTCCTATTATAGGTTAAGTTAAAAATAGATATAACTTAAGGCATGGCTATTTATCTTTCTCCCAAAACTGAATGATTCTATATCCTTTGCCAAAGTTTGGTTCTTATAATCTCTGAAAGAAGTTTTAGTACTACATCACGTCAAGCTGGTTCTTGCTGTCACTGAACTAGAAATTAACTCCCTGCATCATCAAAATCCAGTCATATTACAGTTAAGGCCATCAACTAGGCAATTACTAGTTATAGGATCTGTGCACCTTTAAAAGTCATTTTCTGTTGTAATAACTTTGAATTTCTCTTCCAGATGACACCAAGATAGCGCTACATCTAAAAGATAATGGAGGTAAGAATGAATGTTTTCTGTTATAAACATTTCAGGTGCTAATTTACTGCATTCGTTCTAAGGTGAGAAGAGGCATGTGGGCTTCAAAACAACAAGATTTCCTCTAGTTTTATTAGTATTCAACAAGCAAGGGATACAGGGGGTTTGCTTGCAACATGAATTGAAATCTTAATCCTTACATGTGTCTATGAAACTACACCATATCAATTACAGTTAGGTAATGGAGAAGTCATCGTGGATCATCTTGTTCCTTGTTGCTCTAGTCCTTTATTTTGTATTTATTTTTTATTTTTATTTTTTAGTTGTATATGTAGTGATCTAAACTGTTGTGGGTACTGAGCTCAATTATTTTTTTTCACTACATCAACTGGTCTATAAAGTTTAAAAAACGAGACAGTAACTGTGGGAGTCACGCTAGTCTTGTCATCTGTTCCATAATGCAAATGAGAAAAATTAATTATTCATAAGAACATCTTGTTAGTAACATACTTAACGCTTTTCTAAAACAATTTAAAATTACCTATTCCAGCCTTTGAAAATTTGAAGACAAAAGATTTTACCAAGACAATATTGTGAAAAATATTAACTAAATTTTTACACATGGTTCTTTTCCCACCAAACTATGTCAGCTCGTGCATTCTCCTTTGGAGTATGCTGGATGTTGATTAAAAAAAAAATCTTCATTAGCAATTGCTTATTTGGATCAAGAAGGAAGTCCCCTTTTCTTGACGGCATCTATTACAAGGCCTGGTGACACTGATTTTTAGTGTGGTTTTGTTTGTGCAGCCCCAGGAGATTTCTTCAGCAGTATTGATGTGTGTGATACACCACATATGGTTGAGGATGTTTTCCCTTCCACTTAATTGTAGAGAAGAGTTCCTAAGTTCCTTAGCCTATGTTATATAACCAACATTTCTATAATTTCATATGTCTATATATTCTTCATTAGGTTTTATGTCAGGCTATCTGAAAGTCAGTATCATTGTTACATCAATTATCTTCTGTATTACAGTGCTTTATCTCATTCATTTCTTATTCATTAATGCCATAAGTGAATAGATTTACAGATTACCATTTGCAAATGTACTGGCTAGAAATAAACTGACATTTTAAGTCTTGAAGGGATTTTAGCAGTCCCCCAACTGAAGTCCCTCCAGAGCAGACACCATACTAAAGTTATGGCTACCCCACTTTGAGGAAAGAAATAGAATATGGGGGAGTGGAATGGAGGAGGTGTCCCCGAGAGGCCGGAGAGGTGAAAGTTACGTGAATGTTAGTTATACTTTTCACTACCTGGTTTTGGATTCTTTTTTTTGTTTTGTTTTGCATGTTCTGCAGTACTATAAACAGAAAGCAAAGCATTTCTGTGATCGAATGGGTGTAACATTCATTCATTTTCTTCTGCTGAATGCTTGCCAACTGCAAAGCTTTCCTGCAAACTTGAGGCTATCGTAATAAACAGGGCTTGGATAGATAGATACCCTGCTTTAGAGAACACGCGTTCGAAAGAATCTTCAAGATGATTACAAAGATTTCCTATCTGGTATTATTTGGTCGTAAAACCTTTTATCAGTAGCATCACATGGACTTAATGCTTTGTAAAATACATTTTGGTAAATGATTGTCTAAAATATTACCAGTTAGCTCAATAAAAACCTTAGTCCTGTTTAAAGCTTCACTGAATCCTAACCGTAAAGATTTTTCTTAAAGCAATGCATTACAAATACTATAAGATCCTAAGAAATCAAGTGAAGGAAACCCCAAGATGAAAGTGTAGGGTTTCTGATGTACTGGACAGTGCATTGTTTTATTTTCTTATGATATTGGAATAATTTCTATGCAGCAGTTTTTGGCCAGAATTCTGAAATACCACATCCTTTTTTTTCCCTCTGTGTCAAGAGTTGTTTTCAAAGCATTTATCCTGACAATATTGAACTGTAGTTAGCAGAGAAAAACTAACCAGTAGTAAGGTACTCCTTCAAAAGAGTACTTGCCTGGGCTTGTGGTCTAGTGGTAGAGCGCTTTTCTAGCCTGCAGGAGGCCCTGGTTTTGGCTGTCCAGCATCAGGGGAAATCACACACTACTTCTTAGAGCATATTTATTAAAATAATATGCTACCATTTCCTTTATGGAATGTAAAGATGCAAGAAGGAGTGCTAATTTAAATCTAACTTCATTAGCCAATTATACATGTTGCAAACAGAATTCAGAGTTGTCCTTCCTCTTGGTTTAAAATGTTTTGCAAGATTGCAGTAAAAATGAATAATTGTGCCTCATTTAAGTTCTTTCTAGTACTTTATTGAGAATGATTTTAAAAAACACACAAGCTAGTAAATGTTTATACATTGCTAGGTGTTGTCACCAAGAAATTTAACACGTTTTATTTCTTTAATTTTTTTATATATAATTGGCTGTCTGAAAGCATTTTAATATATTGACATGTTTCCCTAGAAAAGATGGGTGACATGTTACAGAACAGTCAGTGTGTAGCTAGAAAGCAGTGGCTGTCTTTCCGTTCATTGTCTCCTTTAAGCATTGAATTATCTCTGCCCTAAGCCCTTCCAGGGCATTTCTGTGGTTAAAGTAGTTGATTTTTTTTTAATGGAATCTACAGCTGATGTGGTTATAAGGATGCTTTCCTGGAGATGTTTCTTTGTCTTATGTTATACTCTTTGCTTAAGCATAAAATGACCAAAGTCACACAGCAGAATTCCTCTTTTGCAAACTCAGGCTAGTGACTGGAGAAGTTTTATTAGCCTTCCAAGTTGGATGGAAATTCTAAACTCTCTAAAGAATTTGAAGAGAAGAACACAAACAGGTCTAAACAAAAGTGGTAGCTAAGAGTGCAGGACCCACATCTATTGAGATATAACCTTGATCGACCACTGTAAATGCGTACTATCTCAGGAGATCTAATTCAATAACGGCATTTTATTTGCACCTGAAATATCACTAGTTGCATGTGGATAATATTAAATGCAGAGTAAGGTGCAATCCCAATCAAATAATATACCTGTCCCCTACTTACAGAAACAACAGGAAGGCTGGGGGAAAGGAGGATGGACAATGCTAGTTAAACATGAACTGAGTTCCCAGCACTCACTTGAAAGCAGTACGCGCGCCAACGAACTCCTATAATCCCTAACACCTCTGCATCGGCCTTAAGGCCCAAAGCAGTAGGTCGCCAAGGCAGTGTGGGGCAGAACTCAGCAGAGAGCTTTGGCCTTGAGACCAATCCTGGTTCCCTAAGAACTACTCTTTGTCCCTTCTCCCTATTCAGCAGTCGAACTGCACATAGAAGCCAGGCTCACACTGGATTCCTTGCCCTTTTCGGTAACCATTGAATATGCTTCTGATTGTTTGAAAGTGAATTTTCCTTTTCTCGTGTATTTGTGCGTCCATTTCTATTTTAGCCTTCTCACAGAAGTCCCAGGGTATTGATCCCCCTGTGTAATAATTAGGAGCTGTCGGAATCCTCAGCCTGTGGCCCCCAAGCTGGAGGTGTGTCCTGTAGTTTATGCTCCAAATCTAATTTTGATTTCTGTCAGTCTCTTTTAGAAATTCAGATTTAATTCACCTGGCAGTATTCCCAGCTGTATTCTTTAAATGCACTGTCCACTAGTGGTGGTGACACACTCCTGTAATCCCAGCACTCAGGAGACTGAGGCAGGAGGCTCCCTGAAGGTCAAGGCCAGTCTGGGCTACATACTGAGTTCAACACCAGCCTGAAGTATATATAGCGAGACCTTGTCTCTAAATAAATTGATAATTAATAAATACGCTGTATGTGTGGATAATGCTTATATATTTTAAGCAACATCTTCTTTGGGCTTTCAAATCCAAGCAACAGCGTATTAGATTAGCACAGTCATTCTTTAAAGAATGACCTGGCTATATATTTCAGCTGTGGTATCAAGATAATGCCTCCGTTGACATTTGAATAGGTTGCTTCCCAGTTGTTCTCACCACCTAATTAGAAATGTAAAGGTCCTCAAGAGGCAGACTGAGTAAAGTTCTATCCAGGGCCAAGAGAGGTTTGCAAGTTAAATCAGGGGCAAAGGTGTTCAACTGAGAAGTAAAATTTTCAGCCATATTCAGCTCAAGCTAACAAACTGAACTGTGCCACTGCTACCCTGCAGATATTAAAAGATTACTTCAAGCTCGAAAATCCTGAATAGATTTACTGTCTAAAAATCTGTCAATGTGTTTATCAAAGCACCAAAGATTACATTCTCTATTGATTGCTTTAAAGGCCGTTGTCTTTGATTAGGTTAAGATTCTTTTTAAAACTTTACACATAAATTCTTAATTGCTAATAGTTAAAGTATCAGTGCTACGGGTCAGCACAATACAGACACTGGTGGTACTGTAATTGTTCTTTCTTCTTAGCTCTGAGAATTTGCCAAACCTGGGCTCTGAAAAGCTGCACGTTTTTAAAATCTGAGGGTGGAATCTTCCTCAAGGACGTGCTACATTGCTACATAGTGCAGTGCATCAATAAATTAATCCAGAGGTCCGCGTCTGCAGTGATTGGTTTCAAAATACTAACAGACAGTCTTTGAAACACCTGACAAGTGGCTGATCTAAGGTTTCATGGTGGTGTATTTGGTTTCCTATTCCTAAATATAAGACTTTTCATCCAAAGATAAAATGCTAGAACATTATTCTGACTTTCTCACGTCTAAGGTTATATTTTATTATCTAGTCTTGCGACAGATCAAGTACCTAATATTTCATTTATCATTCAGTCGATTTTTTTTTTTGGCTTTCATATATAAATTATCAAGGCAATATGTCTTTCACTATGTTTCCTCCCTTTCCTTGTTATTTTTTTTCTATCTACTTCTTTTGTATAGATCACAGTCTTATAAGCAAAGGGAAAATGTTATTTCCTTTTGACAGGCTATTGAATAGCTATCACTTTCTGTTTCTTTCTTTCTTTTTTTTTGGTGGGGGTACCAGAGATCAAACTCAGGACCTTGCGCTTGCCAGGCAGACAG